GCACCTCATCTACACGTCTTTTAAATACTTCCAGGGATGGTGACTCCACCACTTCCCTGGGCAGCCTGTTCCAAGGCCTGACCACTCTTTCAGTAAAGAAGTTTTTCCTAATGTCCAGTCTAAACCTCCCTTGGCGCAACTTGAGGCCATTTCCTCTCGTCCTATCGCGCCTGTAGCGCTGCATGGGGTTGTTGTGGCCGAAGTGCAGGACCCAGCACTTGGCCTTGTTGAACCTCATACAGTTGGCCTCGGCCCATCGATCCAGCCTGTCCAGGTCCCTCTGCAGAGCCTTACTGCCCTCGAGAAGATCGACACTCCCGCCCAACTTGGTGTCATCTGCAAACTTAAAAATGAACGGCTCCTGCCACAGGAGCCTGTCCCAAACAAGGCTTGTTCAGGCTTCCCGGGATCCGCAGGGCATCCTCCCTTCCCTGCGTTTCTCACCACACCGCCCACCCTGCCAGGCCAGCACGGGCCACTGCCTCTGCTTGGTGCTGCCCCGCTGTTGAGCTCTGCAATTAGCCCTGATGGGCTGTGGCCCAGTGCATGGACTTGCCACAGCTCCCAAGGAACAGCTCTGGGTGAGCCATGTCCAGCTGTGGCTCCTGCAATGGAGACCCCCCGGCCCAAGCTTCCCCCACCACCGTGTCGCTGTGCACCACCACGGGGACAGTCCTTCTGCATGTCTTTATCTCCACACACGCAGACGTGAGTCAAGTAGCGTTGGCTGTAAATCAACTACGGGAGCTTAGGTCCTGCCCTGGGACCTCATTTCCCACTCCCTCTCGCAGCGCGAAGGCTGCTCTTGCGCTGCCCGCAGCAGCACAGTGCTAAGGCTGTCCGTCACCTCCACCCTACATGCCGTATTTACGGAGCTGGGACACCCTGTGGCACTGAGCGGGTGTTTTAGCTCTCACACATGAACGGGAGTCAGATGCTAACATTTTTCCCAGGCTGATTTCCAACACTTTGGGCTTAACCCCACCAAGTTTTCCATTCCCATTTTTAAAATACCATGTTCTCAAGCATGAAGTAATCATGGGATACTGAAACAATTCCTCTTTTACTGGCCTGAACTGAAACAAATCCAACCTCAGCTGAACCCAAACCTGCTCCAAACAGAAATAACGTCCTGGTTTGATTCCGATGGATCCTCAGACCTCATGGATCTTCGTCTGATCTAGTTTAGCTTAGAATTTACTGAACAGCTAGCTTAGGATTTACTGTGCAGCTGCTTTACGATATTCACGTATAAACCAAAATATCTGTGAAGCACATTGATTCTTAATCTAAAGCAGTGTCGGGGTTTTTTTTAGATAGTAAACAAAGTTTTGGGTGCAAATATCCAGTACTCCACACCCTTCTAAAAAGTCTGCTTAAATCCAGCCAAGAGGAATATATGCCACACTCACTCCAGAAGGATGGTAAAATTATTTATTCTTACATTAGTTTACATATACAGTGATGACATTTGGCTAGAAAAATGCCTGTATCTTAGTAAGAGATATTCAAACAACTACAAACTGTCAATAAATACATTAAAAACATACTGTATGCTGATGTAGAAATACCCTAGGCTCTTTTGGTTACTTACCCAGTACAATATTATTGAAAAGTTTTTTGGTGTTTTTCATGCAACATCAAAATTTTTTCCCGACAACTCATGCTATACAACATTTTTTTCTTTATTAGGAATGGGATGAAATTTAAAATCCTGTTTGTTTACAAGTAGTAAAAATCGCTGAAAATTTTAACATAAAACTTTCAATTGTTATAATAAAAAGAACCAATTTAAAGAAGGTTGTCTTTAAAAAAATTGATTTTCTCAACTAATTCTTTACAAAACAGGCAGTATTTCAAAAGGGATGTTTCCATCACCCAGGATGAATCATTTGTGCTTCAAAATTTTAAAAGGAATATTCGTGGCAGAAACCTAAACCCAACTGGTAGGTAGAGGAGAGACTGCGGTACGGACTGGCTAAAACTGAACATGCTTTCAAAATCTGTCCAGGAACACACTAAACACTTATCCACGTCACTATGCCATCACCTACTCTAACAATTAGAAATGGAGTTTTAATAATACTTAGCTCTTCTCATGCTTAAAATTCTTCACAAACATTTAAATAGTCCTAACGCTTCTGCAAGTATTATTATCCCCATTTTACGGTTGGGGTAGTAGAGGCGGAGAGGGCTGGGAATTTGCCAGGATACAGACCGTATCCTTTCCCTCTTGCCTCCCTTGATTGTCCAAGTTCTTTATCGCTTTCTGTATTTTACACTTAACGTACTGGAGAGTCCCAGGAAACATGGGTGGTACGTTTCCATCAGTTATTAGTGGTTATTATGCAAGTTGTGCCACTTCGAAAGTTACATGACAAATATTAAAGTAATAATCGACATGAAGTCCACATCCGAAGCTCAGGATTGATGTCCTAGAATGCCACACTATTTTCAAACCAAGCTTGCTCTTTCTGTAATGAAGTGTTAAGGACATGAGGCCTAATTCTCTCTGTTGTACAGCCAAAATGACTCTTAAAGCCAGTCATGGCTGTACAAAAGAATAAAACCTGTCCCTCACCATCTGTCACTGGGAACACGGAAAACCCCTACAGTGGCCCGTTACGTCCTGACATCGTACAACAAAAAGGACATCTAGATCAAACCAAAGATTTCAGATGTGCTAACCCACCATGAGGTACAGATAACTAAGGTCTCTTCCCCTCCGCCCCCGAATTCAAAAATATTTGTGTCTGAATTACGTCCTAGAAACTGTGTGGGAAAGTAAATGTCTAGCAATGAGACTGCAGATAGAAAACACAGTATTTTGCCTTCGTCTTAGTATCAATCCCCAAATTGTATTATTTCAGTTGCTATCAACATCCTGCATAGAAAGGGCATTTTTGATTTTGCCACATTTGCCCTCTTGAATTTTCTACCTTATGCCTTGTAGGCTGTGCCCCGTTTTGATTTTTATCCCGCCTAGTTTACTCTTACTCTAAACCCAGCTTGGTTTCTTGCCGTCTCTTGACAAGCTCCGGGTTTGCTCTGCCAGCGGACTGCAGGAGCAATGGATAACGCTGTGGTGTTTCACTACCTGATCTGTGAGAGATGAGACACACAAAATTCTGTCACTTGTAATAACAAAATGACCGAGTGTGCAAAATTACATCCCTCTTACAGGCACCCAAAAGGCTTTAAAAAGGCACGTGTATTCTTTGTCACTTGTTCCTCAGTGCCTGATCTTGGTGGTTTTAGTGCGTCTCCAATAAACCCCATAGAATGCACACATTCCCTTGCAGTATGGAAGGAACTTGGAATAAAAATTAAGATCTTCAGATGTACTTCATAGACAGCAGCTGTTACTCAGCGGTTGTCTCGCCCATTAACAAACACTAGAGCTGCGCTACCTGTGAGAATTGGGTTCTTACAGCAACCTCACTCCCTAATCCATTTTCCCCCTTCTTTCCCAAACATCCAAATTTCTAGCAAAGGGGAACACTGCATATTACATGGGCTTCTTCCCAAACAGATATCCAAAGCTCTTCCTGCCTTTTGTAGAGCTGGTAAGCCAGAAAACATCTCTTTTGCGCAAATGTGGGAGGCAAAAATACAAGAGTTTTGCCCCTCTTCTTCCAGCAGCGCAGCCAAGAGCCGTCAGGCTGGGCGAGTACCCCGCTTCTGGCCGTGCCCTGAGAGGTGAGAAGCACCCGCAGCTTCTTTTGACTTCAGATGGGGACTGTGGATGTTTACCACCAACAGAAATCAGTCCCAAGGCACTAGGCAGGAACAAAAAGGACAAAACAAAGCTGTTGTGACCTGGGGGTACTCTATACAGCTGAAATACCAGGCTAGAAAAGTAAGAGGCATTGGCATCTTCCTCTGGGCTTTCTGGAAAAAACAATTAAAACAAACAAAAAAAAAGATGCAAGATCCCAGGCAAATGTTTTCCCTGCCTGACTGAAGCATTCTCCCCGCTTCAAAAATCCAGGAGATGGAGGGATCAAGATACATTGATTCAAATGCGCTAATGTTGAAATGTTTCCATTTCAGACAGGTGAAATGCACTTGCACGCGTGGGCATGGCTTCAGTTCTGTGTGAGGGACGGGAGCCCACAGGCCTGCCTGGGCTCCAGGGGGCTACTGGAGGAGTTTCACCTCCAAACGCCAGTCTGGTGATGGGAGCCAAGCATTCCCCCAGCCTGGACTGAGCCAACTCTGGATGGAATGCATGTTCGCATCAAACGGGACTTCTAGCTGCCTGTAAAATGCAGTCTTGAAAAAAAGGTTAAAAAAGGAAAGGCTGATGCTTTGGCAATTCATTATCTGTTATGCAGTCCAACAGCCTCGAAACATTATCCGTAGCTTGACTAGTGGCAATTCACTATTGCATGGCTGGTAGTCACCAAGAAAGCATTTCTTAATGGTTAAAGCAGTCACATTGATCGGGTACGCTTTTCACAATTCCTCCAGATCGGTTAAATCCACAACCACTTTCAAAAACAGAGTGTCATCTCTGATGTAGGTGTTCTTTGTGTTCTCCAGGACCGTGTGCGGCACGAAGCGCGGACATCCAGAGGCAATATTCATTTCTCCGTCCGGCCTTTTGAAACTGCTGCTATTGGGGTCAGCTCTAAAGACTTCCACGATGTGATTTTTTTTCCCACTTTGGTCCAAAAGCATAAGTGTAACTTTTTGCTTGAAAGGCCACAGCAGCAGCGAGTCAAACTCCCCTCTCATCACGACGAAGTAGAGAGAGACGTGCGTCCCCTTTCCTGAGCCATCCCCGTTCAGGTAGGCTCTCGCGCATAACCTGTACCCGCAGCGGCTGGTGTAAAAGGGCTGGCTGAATATGGAGAGGACGCGGCCTTCCACCGCTTCTTTTTTCTTCATCTTGTAGTCCGTGATTTTCCAGATTAATTTCCCATTGTAGCACGTGCCTTCCAAAAGCTTAAATCGTTCTTCATTTTTATTGAGCTGTGCTTTGTGAATATTGATCTGGAGATCGTGTTTGCTGGACTGACCTTCCAAAACAACTGGAGGAAAAAAAAAGAGACATACACTCGGTAAAATAAAACTGTCAGAGCACGGGATACAAAGAGCAACCAAACTGGAGCTGGCAAAACTGAACTACTCAAGCCCGAGCACAGGCTGTTAACTAGTGTTACTACACCTGTTAACTTTTTAAAATTGTAATTGCAGCTGGTGGTTGAATAAGGAAAACCAGTAACCACAAGCCAGATTTAATGCCCGACGATGGATAGGTACCACTGCTTCCATCACAGTGCGCCAGCCTGACCAACTCCAGCTCTCTGGCCCTGCAGTGCCACAGGAATTCGGGAGACATTGTGGAGTTGGGGAAGTCAGGAGGACACAGCATGCACCGCCACGGCTTGGTCTGAGAAAGCGAGAAGAAAGCCCTTTCTGGCTAATAGCTGCAATTGGCTGACAGTAGCCTCTACTAAGAGCCTCTACCTAGCCACCAGTAAATCAGCAAAAACCCCACACCCCACGTGCAGAGAAGAAACGAAAGTCCCAACGTACCCAAGCGCTGATCATATGTCTCCATCAGGGCAATCTTCTGTTTTACATTTTCAATTGTGTCAAACAGGGGTCGCAAGTCTAATTTGCTTTGTTGCTGGTTTGCCATCTGTATTAGCTGTTTCACTTGCGATTCTAGGCGCGCAGACTTATCCATGTGACTGGCCAGAGCCTTCCCAGTTCGTGCCATTGGAAGAGGGTGGAAGCAGAGGAAAGAGACATTCATAAGATCAGCCATATAATTTGAAATAAGATAAAGCAGTCTTTAGCATGTCAGCAATGTCAACTATATGGTGCATTCGAAAGTACTCTGCTGGCTTAGGAACCTATCCAAACACTCCTTCACAATTAATTCGGCATTTAGTGACCGAGAAGCCACCCCTTACTCAGGTGCATTTGCACTGCATCACTTCATTCAACTGATTATTCGAATTTACATCTGCATATTTGCCATGGGGATCTGGCCATGAGGATTTATACAGTGCTTTTTGCCCAGATCAGATATCCAAACTTCTTTATTGGTTAAAATGAAAAGACAATACTGTATTGTAAAAAACCAAGAAGGGCTTGTGAAGTGTCTGGGAGACAGTATTTGTTATTGCTCTGCTATTAATAACAACTATTACTGGATAAACACATTTAAGGATACAAGAAAGCAATTGGCCAAAAAAGAGAAAATTAATGTCTCACCTGTGTGCTTACCATCAAGTTGCTATTTTTACCAAACAGTTGTGTAAACTGTCTGAATTCTTTCTCACACTTTTTAATGGCCTCTGCTAGCTGCTGGATTTTAATCTCTTTACATTCCAGGCTCTTATACAGGTCAGATATCTACATATGGAAAAAACAGAGTAAAAACGCTAAGGCACACCAAAATACACAACGATCAAATTAAAACCTATGTGACTATATAGGAGAAAGTGGAAAAGTTTACAATGCAAAGCCTCTAACTTAGCTAGATATAGCACTACTTAATTCACAATTCATGGATAAGCACTGGCAAGTACTGAACATAAGGTAGTCATATTCTCTGATAGATCTGTATGGCAACAGGTGCAAAGAGACACATATCTCTCATCCCCATCATGATGATCCATTCGGCTCTACAGGGGGATAATACATACTTACATGCACACAAGTGCATGTGTGTTTCTGTGTGTATGTATATACTTTTTCTTTTCCCCCCTCTACTGAGGTCTAACCAGTAAAAGAGATGAGTCAGTGAGGGATACTAACTCCAAAACCAAGTTGTAGCACTTTGGGGCATTCATTTTTACCATAAACAAGCAGAAGAGTAAGTCAACCATCAGTTTGGAAGCACTCACCTGAGCAGGATTGGGCATACACCCAGTGTCACCTGCTGGGAGCCGCAAAAATGATCGTGAGTGGAAAAGTGCTTGCAACTGGCTCTGCACCACTCTGTGCTGCCTCTACAGAGGGGGTGACTTGGGCATCTAAAGGCTCCTTTTCAGAGCAATCTGACCGGCCATTGAAACTTTAAAATCTCCAAGCTTTAAGTTTTAAAACTTTAAATCTTCAAACCTCATATCCACTGTAAGCAGAGACTGAAAGCAAATGAGGTAAGCGATGGCAACGAGCCTCCCACCGTGCTTGCTGGAGAATATACATGCCTGAGCACAGAGAGGTTTCCATCTAATTGATTGACTTCACTAGAAGAGCTTATTCTGACTTCTGAGGTGTGCAAAGACCGTAAAAACAGTCTTTTAAAACGTAGCTGAGCTAAATCAGGCAACAAATGCAGAATCTCCTATCATCCTCCAACCAGCCAAGGACCGCTGAAGAGTGCTTGTTAAATACAACTTACCTGTTCTTCCAACTGGGAGTTCTTGTCTAAAATCTGCAGCATGTGTTCCCTCAGGGCGCCGTTTTCATGTTCGGCAAGTTTTCCTCTTTTAACCTTAGTGAGGTAGAGGGGGAAGTGAAAGAATAAAATAATAAGATACGCAGATTTTTGAAGTTGTTAGTAAAAAATTTATTGATGCAAGCATTTAAAATGTCTCCTCTGGGCTTTGAAAGTGAGGGAATGGCAGTCCTGACTCCAGCATCTTAGCTAATACTAGAAATGGTTGTGAAAGAACAAAAATTGGTTATTTTGATTAATTACTCTGATTGGTTTGGGAGACAAATCCCAGTCCCAGTACAAACAAGATCTATAAAACAGTACCTTTACAAGACAGCCGTACTGCTTATATGGGCAGTCCACTTCTGCCTCAGGACACACAGCGTGGTGCTTTTCAATCTGCGTATATTAACAAAGAAACTTGTAATGAAATAAATATTAAGTAACTTGCTGCAATGATAAAATCTGAATCCCTGCATAAAGGGTGAATAAAGGCCAATGTCATGACACCACTGATCACACAAAGAGGAAAATGAGTATTCAGAGTCAATAAACAAGCCAGATATTCTCCTGATACTGCAAAATGCCAACGCTTTGCAGTGACCGAATACCTCACTTGTAAGATGGAACACATATCCTTTTAGGACCAAACAAAGAAAATACTTAGAGCAATGAAGTTTTATTGGCATGGGCCAATGTGGTCTGCAATGTAACTTTCAGTTTTCATAAACGTGTGTGATCTGATTAATCACAGTATATGAAAAAAGTAATAGTACCTCCTTTTTCAGAATTATTTGTGAACAGTTTTGGAGACAAGGCACAGGATAATCAGGACAGTCATTTTGCTCATGATTCTGGGGAAAAAGAAACAAAACAAGGCAATGGTTTGCATTTTTGTAAAGTAGTATACACCGAGGAAGCTGTGCAAAAAGCAATCCCAAACATACATGTGCAAGCCCCATTTCACATTGTTGTTCATAAGAGAGCAACGGTAATTGGTATTATTTAGAGCACATTTATTATACTTTCTCCTTCAACTAGTCAGCCAAATTTTGTTTCAGGAGTTGTTAAGCCCCATTCCAATGCTGGAAACTTTTCACTCAGCAACATTAAGAGGAAACATGTGCTACGGATTCCCAGGGAATGCTTTATAATCTTACCTTTATGTTAATTAACACCACATATTTATTACAGTACTGACACATTTCTTCTCGAAATTTGCAGTGCCGGCTCAAATGCTCTTTCAAGTCTTTCCGAAGAATTTGATCACAACATCCATCATTAATGCATTGCACACTTTCAAACAAGCACTGTTGAAGATGCTCCTGCAACACGCAACAGCAAATTAAACCCCAAAGTATTTCATCGCATCTCCAATTTCCCAACAGACCCACAGAAACATTCCGCAGTTTGGTAACAAACAAAACTCCAAATACTTTTTCCTCCATAAACTTTCTCCTTTTCCAACCTCAAAACTAAAGTGAATGTGAAAATTTGGAGAGTCCTTTGCATGATTTCCATTTTTCATTCAATTGATATACTGAAAAAAGGCCCAAATGGCCAGTACGTCTTGGCAAGTTTTCTTGAGTCAACCATCACGTGGCGCCTAAACATATAGAAGGTATGTATAGACGCTGTGGATGTACTAAAGCTACATAAAGCAAATGGTTCTTTTTAAACAAATAACCTAAGGCAAAGCTGGAACAGGCTAACAACTGTAATATTTTGAGCTTAACATTTGTTACTTACAGTATATAGCTAAGTCATAATCTTTGTACTTAAACCACATTGCTACGATAACTCTGAAGTCTGAAAATAATCACTGTACTTTAGCTTATCATAAATATACAGAGTTCGCATGAAAATCAAAGGCTTCAAAATTTGATCAAGCAAACTAACCTGATATCGTCCCAGAATTATTTTTGAATTGCAGGCAGGAATGTTTTTGCAGAACACATGCAAGTTGAGAACTTCTCTTTTACAGCAGTTGTCTTTGAATACCTGTAAGGAAGCAAACCAGCCTTCATATGCAGTCATACAGGATGTTATAAAGAATGTAAAAAAGCAAAACATGACAACAAATCTTTTAAGCACACAAGTCTAGACTCCATAATCGCGAGCATGATTCTTGATAATTCATATTGAAAATGCATACTAAAAATACAAATTAAAACATATATGAATTTTCTAATAAGCATAGGGTTTTTTCCCCATATAGTTATTCCACAGATGCTGATCCATCCCACAGCCAGCAGGATTAGTAGCTCAGGAGCTATAAAACCGCTGCCAGAGCCTGCCTGTATCTAGAAGAAAGCAGCTGGAGCGAACGGGCCCCAAAGGCCAACCAGCTCTCTGTACGCTCCTCCGATGTTCAAGCAGCGCAGCGCGCCTTTGGGATGGAGACGATGCTGAGATACCCCTTCTATAGACTCTGAGAAACAGCACTGTTCCCAGGTGTCTATGCAGAGGCAAACTAAGCCCCAGAGCAAACTTTCAGTCTTATTTAGAGATCTTCCTGTAAAGAGCATTACAAAGCTGCTCACTGTTGCACTACTGACATCAAAATTTGCACAAAGTAGAAGACAGCGAATGAAAAACATAAATCACGTGGACAGTCTGATTACAATTTCCTATCAGGAGTAGGAGAGAGAGGAAGGAGACTTTTGATTTCACTAGAAAATTCATTCTGGCAGGACCAAGTATGTAGCATACTTTCAAGCCTTGGCATATAAATAAGGAAAAATGAATCCATTACCAAAAAAAAAAAAAATCAGTAGCTTGCAAAATAAGAAGGATGAACTTATCTTTTCCTCTAGAAAGTTACCCAAAATTAAATTAAGTCTGAAGGGTTAAAGAGATATAATGGAAATAGTTAAGGCAGCAAATTATAACCAAGTGAAAACAAAGACAATCAAATAAACAAGATGACCCAGCAAGATGGGGCCTTAAAAAGGCAAGTCAATAAACTCTCCACTAAAAAAGACATCTGATGACTAGGGAAGATTTAAAACTTCGTGAAACTCTTCGACACTTTACTGGAAATACAGAAGACAAAAATGAAATAACTTCAGAACATGAGGTATAAAATAAAGCTTCAGCTATACACCCATACTTCCTTTCTGGGAGAGCATCACTGAATATACTGCTTCCCTTAGCATCAATTCAGAGACAAAAACTGCTCTGCCCCTGAGGACTAACAGACTAAGAGCCACCTTGTTTGTTCTCAGCTGTCTTGCCTTTTCCATGAAGATGTTGTCTGCTGAAGTAAAACTACAGCCACTCACCTCGTGCATTTTTATTGTTTCTTTGTCGACAGGACAGGTGGGTACTGCATTCAACTCTCTAGATCAAAAGAAGAGTCATGTTAACCCACAGAAAATTTGAATTATTTTACGGAACTGGGCTATGCTAGAATCTGACTCTGGCAGAATTCAGTACTAGATACCATAAAAACCAAAAAGTGCTTCGAAAACACTTTTGTCTGCCAACTACACAGCCAAATTCTGACCATAGCTCTAAGAGGGCATTAAGCTGCAACAGTGAATATGTAACAGAAAGCAGAGTTTGTCCTGCGAGTGTTAATAAGATGGTTTTTAATTAAGAAGACTTTGTCACAGTCTGGCCATCTGCTGCTCGCAAATGTCGTATCTGAAAAAATCCCATCGCGTGCATTAAACCCAGCCTTTGCCTAGCGCAAGCAGCACGCTCCTTGCTACACCAGTAAAAGAAGATCTAATGGCTCCTTCTTAAAAGGCTTCCAGAAGTCCTACAGTAAGGGACGGGAAAACACTTATCGAGGCAGTGCAAAAGGGAGGCAACCCAGCCAGAGAAAGCAGCAAACATGAAGCATCTAAAATTCATAAAAGGTAAATGGCGACATCCATCCACATGAACAGGCTCCTCTGCAGCCTTCCTGGGCCAAATCCTGCCCTCGGGTACACCAAACAGTACGTAATGTATTCCCAGACAGGTCTGCAGGGTAAACTCATTTGTACCTGCAGATAAATCCCAAGCAGATGGATGCCAGCAGCCTTGTGATCTGACTGCAGTATCGGGTAATACTAACATCAGTTTTATAACTCCACTAAAATCAAAGAAATTATACAGAAGCAGATGAAAACAGCTTAATCTAACCACCAGTGCCAATACCGTGAGACGTTAATGCAACAAATTCATCTGAACCGCACAATGCTAGACAGGCAGACCGAAACAGCATCTCACGCAGCAGAGCGTAATCTTACATCAACAATTTCTTTATGCTGACTTCCCTGCAGCTACCAAAGTATTCCTCGCCAGCACCAGCTAAGGTCTTCAAAGACACCTTTAAAACACTGAGCACGCAGCCATTCAGTTCAACAGAGTCTTTCCATTGACTCCTTCAGCGTTTTATCAGATCGGTGCTATTATTATGGATGATTTATAGAAGGCGTTGACTTCTTTTTAGGAAGGGGAGTACGGGGAGCTTGCGGATGCAGGAGGAGTTTGTACTGACCTCAGAGAAAGAATGCACTGCTGGCAAAACCGGTGCCCGCATCCCGTCTGGTGGGGATTGTGAAGGACGAGGTGGCAGTAGGCGCACTTGTACCGGTCTTCTAAGGTTTCAACAAACTTGTAGTCGGCGTCAGGCTCGAAATCCAGAGAGACGGCGCTGACAGAGTTCTGGCGCGTGAAGATGCCCGAGAGAGCAGCGGGTTCGTCACAGGCCATGGGAGCTGCACTGGGAACCAGACACAGGGAGAATCCCTTCAAATATTCACCGGCAGCCACGCCGCCTCGGCTAACTCTTGCAGCCAGGTTGCGCCGCCGGGGGGG